TATCTTTTCTAATGTCAATTTATTTGGTGACAACTCAGCCGCACAGCCAGTCTTGCAGCTGTTCACTGCTGTAGATTCACCAGTGATTAGCACTTATGTATTTGGTACAGTAATTATTATTTGAACACAGCAGGTAAATTTGTCCTTAAAATCAAGCTTTCATAACTATAAATTACTTGTGTAATTCTTAAAAACGGGCTGTAAGAAGCGATGTTCGCTCTGGAATCATATTTGACTTTTTTTTAATCGCAGTAGCTCCTTCGTTTTCTTCCTGAGGAAGGGCTTCTAAGCATGTCAAACAAATTTCTGCCGTTCTGGCTACATCGAGGACTAATAAGCTAACAAGGTACTTCTTTTTACTTCAAAAAATAAGTCATTTCTTTTAAGTCGTTTCATTCAAAATTGCGTTCTTAGCTTTAACTCCAAACGCAAATATGTTTTACTATGTTCTATCAACCTTTATAAAAGATCTTCATTATCAGCGGTATCACGCATTGTCATAAAGTCCTAGAAGGTTGGATGAACTTACTGAAAAGTCTGTGTTAGAATGGGCATTCGCTACATTATGCATAATGCAGTGAATGCCCATTCTGACACAGACTTCTCAGTAAGTTCATCCAACCGTCTAGGACTTTATGACAATGCGTGGTACCGCTGATAATGAAGATCTTTTATAACATAATGACTTGTAAGTACATTGCTGACAAATGAACCCCTCGTTAGAAGTGTACTAGCCCATAGTTCACATTCAAAATGTCAAGCACTTTTCTTCTATGGAGAAGAAAGTTAAGAGGTTAGCTGAAGAAAAACTACGATATGGCCTTCAAAACAATGGTTTGACTTTTTTCCTTCAAAAGCTTTTTAAGATCTCACTACATCAAAGAATTTTTGGAAATAAGAGCTGTTTTTCCACGTTATTATTACTATCAAAAAAGAGGAGAAAGCAAAAAATATGAATTGATTCATTATTATTTTACAAAAGAACCTGTAAGGGAAACAGCCAATTTGTAGTAAAACTTTCCTCAAAAACATACAAATAATCTAAGGTTATGCTTTATAAGTGCTAAGGTTGTTTTGCCTGCTTAGTCTTAGAAAACTACAGGATATTCCCATGCACTCAACCACCTGCAAATGGTAAAATATGAATGGATTCATAGCAGCGAAAAGCGGTCTGGCACCATCCACTTGAACGTCATATTAAAGGCAAAAAGTTGAAATTTTGAAATTTCAGAAACATAAGATAGATCGACTGATAAGATGAGTAAGTCAAATAGTTTGGAATTGCCTTAGGTTCAAAGATCTGTACTATTGGGGCGATATTGCTTCAATCTCGCAAATTATCTCACCAACAGACAGTGCTACTGTGTACAAAGTGACTATCTATTCTTAACACTTCGTGACAGCGTGCGTCTCTTTTTTTTTGACTGCTCATAAACCTTTCGTAGTCTTACAGAAAGGCACCACGGCAATCCATGTGATATTTGGAATCAACACGACAGAAACCCTTCTCCCCCACACAAGTTAGAGAAGAAAAAAATTTCATTAAACAACTGGAAATTGCGGTGTTCGCATGCGCTACATTGTGCTGCACATTGCCGTGATGTACTAAGCATTTTAGACTCAAAATTGAGGAAAAAAAAGTTGGACTGAAAGGTCCAAAAGCTGAGAAATCGATAGAAAAGTACTTTCGGATTTTATCCTTTTTCCAAATTCAAAGATTGCGAGATATCAATAAAGTAGCGTGGATGTTAACCTCGTCTTATAAAACTTGCTTTGAAATTTCCTGAATCTGCAAAATTGAGAATGTGATGTATTCTCACTCAATGTATTGGAGCAAATTTACAAGATAAGAACAGTATCTTACTTCTTTTCCCACTACTCTTCTTATGCCCCTCTAGTCAGTTTACTTTGATTACACTTCTTACACATCAAATACCTTAATGCTCGATTTTCGTGCTTTTTGGGAACTACCGGCAAGAAGGATTTGATCGAGTGCACCAAAAAGTAGTACTACCGTTCTAGTTCTTCGCCCTATCGAAAATTCTAAAGCAGCTGAATAATTTCTTACTGTAATATAGTAATTCTCCATGTAGGTTCAGGATGTGTTTTCCATTTAATTCTGCTCCTTCTCTTTTCTACAATTATTCCATTTGTTGAATAAAATCTCTTAAGCTTAAGTTTTCAGTAAGAATGACTTTCAGAGGAACCAGCCATAGCCATCCCCGGCGAACCTCACGTAGACATTGGCACTTCACTTCTAGCACCATCCCCAGTTGTAGCAACGCCTCCTGTTGTTGCACCAACCCCAGTTATCGCTCCAGCTCCAATTGTTGCACCAACACCAATGGTTGCACCATCGCCAGTGATCGCTGCTCCTTCTCCAGTTATTGCTGCCACAGCGCCAGTTGTAGCTGCCCAAGCCTCTCTTGTAGCTCCAACACCAGTCATAGCTCCCCCGCCAGTTGTCGCTCCAACACCCGTCCTTGCTGCTCCAGCACCAATTGTTGCTCCGGCTCCAATTGTTGCTCCCGCTCATGTTTTGGCGCCAGCACCTGCTCTAACAGCTGCTCCGTACTACCCTCAAGTGTTTCCGTACGCAGTGGTGAGATTTTGTTAAAAATTTTTTATTTACAACATTTAGACAAATAATACTACTTCAGTATGCACATTACCACCATCCTCGCAC